ATACCTTTTGCCCCTGAAACAATGAAGTACATAAATTAAATGCATGTAAACACACTTTACAACATCAATGTAACCTTCTCTATAATAAGGGGGAAACAGATTGGTCGTTGTGTACCTTTTCTGTATATTTGCCAATCACAGTCCATTTTCATGGCGTTCTGTATGTTCCTTCCGTCCGTCCAAATGACTGTTTTGTTCCTCATGATAACAGCGGTACCTGAAGAGATTTTGTTCCAATTGCGTTACTGAGAAAAAGGGGACATCCCTCAAAAGATAAAAAGCAAAACAAAACACAAACGATCGATCTATTAGACTGACAATATTTCAGACGATGATGACATTGTATTATAATTTAGATAACTTTAATATGATTTATATAATTTAATTATAATTTATATAATTTAATTTTAATTTATAAAACTTTTTTTTTTTTTAAACTGTATCTTTCCCGTTAGGAAATCTTGGATGACAAATTTATCAGGCAACTACATATTTATTTATTGATTATTTTAAATCGAATACTTGAAACATGCTATGGAGTTCTAAAGAAGGAAAGTGTGACTTGTTTATATATAACTACAGAGTAAAGGAGAAATCAAAGTCGTCACATTCGTCATAGTTAGTAAAAAAAAAGGTGAACGATACTTGTGTAGTTGACTTTTATTTCTTTAGTGTACTATCATAAAGAATTTTATGATAAAAGTGCTAAATTTGAACTTTAATTTAATATCTCATTATATTCGTTATTTGGTGCATTTTAAACTACAAAATTTCATTTAATTTATTCCACCGTGTGATATAAATATAATTAATACCCTGTAACTATTTTATGTAAACTGTTTCTCCTTAAGGATGTACTCTCCTGAGGTTTAAATCACGTTCAAGGCTCGTTTTGATCTGGTGTAACAGGTTTTTGTAATAGCAAAGTTAAATAGCTAACACGCATCTGAAAAAGATTTCAAAAGATTAGATGCCTGTCGTTTGTAGAACTTATTTTACAAGAATTTTTAAAAAAATGACCATTTCGGCGGCATTTTTGAAAATGTGTATTAATGTGTATTTCTTTCGCTTCAGAAAAGGCCAAAATTTCGCAAGTTCAATTTTGCTATACAACTTTATAATGTTCAATATGATAACAGAAATATGCTACAAAGTGGAAAATTGTACATTATTGGGTGTGTGTTTGTTTTTACATATTTAGTGTAACTGAAGCACTTTTGATTTTTAACCTCGAAAAGGGTGAAAAATAACACAAATAATAATGGGACAAAAAAGAAGCACACGGACCCCCCGTGGTGTACATCCTTAACTTGTGTCAATCTAGATAAATTCTATTTACGAAGCTTTTTCTTTGAAGTCGGATTAACTTAGGCATGTACTTTGTCTATCGTATACCATATCTTTTATCAATTAGTTCTATTACGTAACAGGTTTAACTGGTCTTACCAGGCCGGACACTGCATTAAGTCCCAGACAAACGACAGCTAAATTGACTTATCTGGTCGGGTACGGTCTCGGTCTCAAAGAACAATTGCTATGAATGACAGATGTCACTTAAACTTGTACTTAACGACATGATTATGCTTGTAATATCAGTTAGGACCTAGGCCACGGACTGTGCGGGTGTGTGTTTTTGGATTATCCAGAAATCCCACACCGACCTAGACAAAGTTGATCTAATAAATTTATATTTGGACCATATTCATCATCTCCAGAATTAATACTTTCAAATTGTATAACAACACCTTACAAAGGTGATGTAATAGTACGATACTTGACCTAATGACTTATTGTCCTAAACTTAATCTTACAATTTGACTTTATATACAATTTTGTCTGTATAGCTACTAATGATTTATAATTATTCATGATAAATGTAAACATGAGGGTGAAGATTTGTGTTTTAATGTCTCGCCATAAGTAGAAACATGGCGACTCAATAGAACCATTGAGGGGTACAATATACCTCCTTACATAACACTGGGATGATTGACATGAATACCGTAACAATATTATAGAAAATATAAATTGCTTACTGTATTTTAACACATCTTTATAATGGTGTTAAGAGCATCATTATTTTGATATAAAATCCGTCTTATTAACATTCATGAAATAAGCTAGTATGATAACAAAATTCCGATATCGAATAATTTCTTCTTTAAGTCTATTTAACCCATTCCTTTCTATATATATATAATTTTAAATATTTAAACAGGAACTGATCTGAATGTTATATACTCCATGGGGTTTATACTACTTAGTGTAGTGATATTTCACGAAGAAATATGAATAAAAAAAACGTGAATAGTAGTCTGAACGTTACCGATGGTTCCATCAAAACCAGAAATTGCTTCTAAGCGCCTGTCATGTGGAGATCCGCCTTGTTGCTGTAATAACCAAGAAAACTATCAAATAATGTCATAAATGTTTCATCTGCATGTTAATTGCTTTTTATTTACCCGGAACGGGTTTAGATGAATTAATTTATTGAGGATTCATAGTTAAATAATTGTTCTGCAAAGGCAGTTACAACTCACGTGATGGGCGTCCTGCGTAGTGACGATGTAGGCATCTAAACCATAATCGGTAAACAAACGTCGGATGTTCTCTAATCTTGTCCAGGTCGCAGAATTCTACAATATAAAGTAATTAAAGGTACCTTTTCCGTATCTCAAAATGATTTATACATTTGAATTTTAATATTTTCAATAAAGAAGGTGAAAAAATGTCATGCAAAAAAACGTTCAAATAAATACACTGATCTAGTTGTATATTTCCCTCACTTGTAAATGTGTATGGCCCTCATATCTCGTTGTGTATGGCCCTAACTTGTAACGGTACTTACCTTCACAGACTGTTGTATATTACCCTCACAGAACTCACCCTCGTGCAGTTTTCTCGACGACGCACATATGTGATATCATGAGGAATATCATGAACACAGTCTGAACCGTAATGGTGAGCAAACCCTGTTGAAAAAAACAAAGATGACAATCGTAACACCATGGGATGAGCTAAATGTCCCGAAAAAAAATGACAAAAAATGTAAGGTTGGGTTTAACGTGGTGATGGGAAAACACTGGCCTGTAAAACTGCTTTCAAGACTTATCTATATGCAATTAATAGCTGTATGAATAGAAAGTTGAAAAAATGAGAAAAACTAATAAAGTCAACAGGTACCCACTTCCTAGATATAATTACCGATGTGCTGAAATGCCAAAATTAGTTTTTGTTTTTGGTAAATATAACCAATATTAATTAATCTCGAGAGCTGCTAATGGTCACCTGCCGACGATGCAGATTGTTATGGAAGTGGGGAGGAGTGTGGTTAATGCACAGATAATGACATGACGGCAAAACAACGTTGGCTTGCTACGTAAGGTTTTTTAGGTAACAGACAAACAAATTATGTACAATATGTTTTTTAGCGAAGTCACCTAAAAGCCTGGACCAATTTGGTCTTCTCTATCTCGACTAATATGGTCGTTTACTTATCTTGTTTTGACTAACTACTTGTACTTTTGTTGTAGCTGATATCATAATTTTGCATTTAGCAGGTGGTTTCCACAATCGCCCTTATCTTAGGGTTAATAGTCTCATCTAGCCTGACTAATTTGGTCTGATCTACTTGAGCATCCTGATTATACTTTTGTCTTAACTGATGTGAGAATTTTGCATTTAGGTGTTCCTATCGTCAGATTGTTGTGGCGGTCCCTGACCATTACCTCAGTGTCCTTCCGTGTTCATGGAAGGCAATTGGCAATTTTTTATAAACACCTGAAATGCTACCCCTAAGCTATTGAGTTTTCTGATGAGTGATGAGTGATAAGTGACTGACAAATCTACTGTTCATTAAGTTACCCATAGTATGGGTCATTTGCAGTCTGTTTTGTTTTCTGTTTTTTTTATTACATGTATTTGATAACTATCCTTCCGTACGGGCTATGATACTTTTGATATTCGTAACAACTTGGACTGTATTCTAACACATTGTACTGGGTTGGGTAAATTCAACAGATGAATTTGCTTTATTTGATAGAACGCCATTTCCTATTGTGATATGAGAGTAAGCAAAGTGATTTAGGGGGTGTACAGATATACACAGACCTACGATATATATATACTATGTCAAGTTGTTAGAAGTTCAAGGTCGGCGTTAATACTGACCGCCTGTTTGGTTTGTAAACACTGATCGCCTGTTTGGTTTATAAACACTGACCGTCTCCACTGAACCAGTCAGGTATGTGTGTGTACCAAACAGTTGTTTTAACCAGCCGGAAACGTATTTATGGATTGATTACCTCCTATATACAATTTCTCATTGAAGCATGACATTCATAGTCGAACAAGCAATTTCTGCTAGAAGTATTAAGCCTGACTGATTTTCAAATAAATACTGTCTGAATAATACATTCTGATCAGTGGTTGAAAGAAGCAAACAGGCATTTTAATTGTTATGACCAGGGTCCAACTGCTTTACATAAACATCTGTATATGTGTTGTTTTTATATGGCGGCGTATTGTTATGCATGCATGTCGTTATGTTGTTGTGAACATTTGCTAATTACATAATCAAATGACATAATCCAGGGACATACGTAGTAATAACCATCTATTTAAAACATTTATTACATTTACATCCATATGTCAAGTGTTCCGGAACGTGTGTAAGAATATAATAAGAACAACTTCTGTCAAACTTAATTCTGTTCAAACAAAAGGTAATAATTGTTTTGATTCCCGTAATGCATTATTTAATTTTAATTTTCCTTACAAAATCAAACTTCTGCGATTCAGAGTTTTACATAATCATTAATGCATATCGTAACATACGACTGAAGCTATATATTATGCATGAATGCTACGGTTTTAAATGGAGATTCCGCTAGATAAAAGCATGATGACATAACCGCACTCGGAAATGCATTCAGCATTAACTATCTTTAACAATCTTGCAGTACTGACGTATCAAGCCTTTATGTAATCTGATTTACATGAACATTTTACACACAAAAAATCACAGTTTGTATCCATATGTATATATTAACTTTCAGCTTGCAAGTAGCTCTGTAAACAAACTATAATAAGAGCGTAACTAGCAGGCGCCGAAGCGAAGACTAGTGGGGAATAGGAAGTGTATCCTTGAAGCAAAGACAAATGTGTTTCAACCCATACATGAATATCTTCATATAGTGAAAACAATCTTCATGTTTTATTACTCGTATATTTAGATAAAAACTAAAATACATTTTGAGTGAAAAAAAAAATATCACATTAAATGTGATACTAACAGGCATGTAACTTCGTTCAGAGGTTATCATAATATGACGTCACAATGAATCGGCCTTCATCGGTTATTTCCGGAAGGATGAAAAATGACCGCAAAATCCTGGAACTGATGCCCGTTGCAATTATCTCTTTGTCGGTGATTCAAGACTTTTATATTTAATTTTTGATTTCCATTTGTTGAGAATATGATCGAAATAATTAACATTTTTGAAAGTCTGGTTATAGTCTTTACAATATTTATTTATGCATCACCACTCATAAAAGAAACAATGGAAAATGCATTATTGTCGAAATCAACAATAATTTTCAAGACAACCAACCCAAGTGCAACGCCCTTTTTTCAGCAACAGATTACTTTTTCACAACGCGTGCCGATTTATAACTAGTGACAGACAGTAACTGTTCAATTTTATTTTGCATCATTACCTGTCAAACCTCGGTGACAGTTACACAATTTGAGTTTGAAATTTAATCCGATGTGTCAGGATGGAACAGTAATTGAGACTACATATCGATACAACCTCAATCTCAGTTACATTAAAGTATTACAATGTTTTCTTTTTTTAATTTTGTTTTTGCAACTAACATCTCTATATATTTTCTTTTTTGTTTTAGACTAATCGTCAAATATGTAAATGCACTTTTTTTCCATAGCAATTACCAAACAGTTTTTCCCCAGCTTATCTCAATCCTTCTTTTTGTGCCCTGACGGAAGCACGCAAAGGATTAATATGTGAGAAAGCTGGAGTATCCGGATAAAATCCGCGTGGTCGGACAGGTGACCGGAACTGAATCCGGCCATCTTGGTAAAGACGAGCGCACTATCCACTGCGCAACCCGACCCATCATATACGCTACGCACAAGAACAAATATCCACTTTAGCTTTGACTGGAAGAAAATGGCGTCATTGATGCAAAAAAAATATTGTGAATACATTTTTATCAATCATCAATGATATAAAAAATCTACTTACGGGAGACCGGGCAAGTTCGGCCACCCCTGATATTTGTTTTGTTTTGAGCTAATATTTACAACTTTAAGGATTTTAGCAGTTTAGTAGGCTGGGCCTTCTACGAAAAATAGCGAGGAAAACTCTAATGTAAAATTCCTAAACAGGAGAAAATTACTTTTGAGAGGGTAGACTGAAAATCATGATCTCGCTTCTAGTTATGCGAAATTTTTGAAATGGAATTGCTTCTTTTTTACGGTCAAACGTGTAACACACTGACAGCTTCAAATGATAATACTATAAAGCCAAGCCAATCACCCACTACCATATTGCTGCACGATAAAAATTTATTGAAATATCTATTTGGGCCCGAAAAGGTTCGGCCAATGAAACCGTGGCATGTTTGGTCCATGTAATACATAAAAAGTTGTAAAAGTAGCGGTAAAATCTGACATTGCATGGTTTATGACCTCATAATTAAGCTGATTCCAATGGGG